GGTCGTCTACCTCCCGTGAAGTTAATACATCACCAAAACAGTCTCACCCGATAAATACGTAGCGTAGGCCGCAAACACATCGCGGCAAAGAACAAGTTGAACAGCAGCGGGGCCAGGTTTCATCCCTGTCGGAGGCCTTGGCCCACGTCGAACCATTCCGAGTACTGCCCGNCGAGCTCATGGAGCCGCTGAATGGCGAACAGCATGTCGAGCGTCGACCGGTGTGGTCGGAAACCGCTCTGCTCCTCCGGGAGGATGCCCTCTCGATCGCAGTAGTGGCTCAGTCGTGTAGCGACGACCTTAAGCGGCGTGCGCGACGAGAGAGATGCCCCGGTAGTTGCCGCACTCCATCGTGTCCCCCTTCTTGAACAGCACTTTGATGGTGGCATCCTTCCACTGCTGTGGTACGTCCCCCGTCTGCCACACGTCCCCGACAGCGGCGTGGAACTCGCGGAGGAGTCCTTGATCTCCGTCCAGGAAAAGCTTGATCAGCTCGGCCAGTAAGTCGTCCGGCCCGACGGCCTTTCTGTTGGCCATTTCCCGTACCGCTTCCTCATCCTCAAGTAGAGATGGGGTGTCGTCGAGTGGCACGTATCTATGTACGAACATAGACTAGATAGCTAACGTGAAACAAGGCCAGCACATTGCGACATTGCCACCTCTGTTGTTGTGTGCGTACATATGCTAAACCAGTTATTTTCCTCACCGTTCTATTGTTCTATTTCTGCGGGACTGGCCCAACTGGCCGGTGACGACGGGTAATAAACAAACCGGACGGGCTACCGATGATGATGTACGAGAAAAGATGATGGCGCACTTGTTGCCCACTGCGGCCCTCGATAAACTGCGGCCCTCGATATGATATGCGGCCCTTAATATGTAAGTTGGTATTGCAGAGCCGAACTCATCAACGGGGGACCATTACAACCGCAGTACATAGGATGAACGGCTCATTGCCTCGACATTGTGGGTCCGCATCGGGCTGTTAAAGAAATGGAGATGGATGAGGCGACGAACTTTCCATGGGATACCAAGCGGGTGCGTGTGGAGACCGGGCGGAAAGACAGTGCACCACCAGTAGCTGCAACTTTCCGATGTGAAGGTTGTGTAGTTATTTTCTCTGTGACGTGTGTGTGCAGTCTGCCGGGCCCTGCGCTTCGGATTATTTCGCAGTGAGTGGTACTGCTGCGCCTTGGTGGCACAGAGCGACGCCACTATATTCTATCGCCCCCCGCTTACATTCCGAAGACCACCCAATAATCGAGAATCCGGTCATCCACGCTGCAACCGCCATGAAAGGATTTCTTCTTGGACAAGCCATCGCCCTTCTCCATGTCTCGGGGGGTAGTGTTGCTTTAGCCTCCGGAAAAGAGTACGGCAATAATGAAACGGGATTCGGCGCCGTGCGTCCGCGATGCATTTCTCTCCGCAGCGGATGCGTACAAAACAACGAGGAGCCGGAAGTGTCCAACGGGGCACGGCCCAGACGATTGCAGGTCATTGGTGAGTTTCTCTTTCTCAGCAACCCAAGGTTTTATGGCACTCGCCCTCAAGAGTGTCTCCGCAATTTCACTGCGAGGATGCCATCGCGGTGCCCAGAGTTGCCGCTGTACAGGCTTCAGGTCGGAGAGACATGCAAATATGGACGCTTTGTTTCTGCCTTGTTGTTGAAGTCTAGTCTATCTACTGAACGGCCGAAGATCGCAAGAACGCGTTCTTTCCAATTCTCGACGTCGATGTGATACGCCGAAGAGGAGTTGTTCTAAAGACCACAACTGTGCGGAGGGCAACCGAAAATCAAAGAGACCCCTACATCTTCGAAGTATTTCATAAAAGTCAATATGTTGTTGTTGTTGTTGTTGACTTCACATTAAACCGTATGCCAGTTGCTAAATGCCAAAATCTAGCAAAGACTCTCGGCCCGTGGTCACGAAAGTGCTGGAGCCATCTGAGGATCTAAAGAACACGCACACGTAGCAAGAAAAAGGTGTACAAGAGCCCGAAGAGGTACTACTACACCTATATATAATCCCTGCAGCACCGTACGCGTGCCCAAAACTGAACTACACGTCCGTCTCACCGTTCGACTACAGCAACATCACCCCCTACTTGTCCCACTCTGTACCAAAACGAATGATTGCCAACTACAGCATACTTGCTGTCTGAAGTGCTGTCTGTACAAAAAAAACACCATGGTAGGCATGGAACAAGAAGCTGGCGGGGCACAAAGCTGCTGTCTGAAGTGCTGTCAGAATGTATACAACGCATGAATGGCACCGCGTGCCTACTCGTCTACTCGTGACCGACCGTGGTTTTTTACCCCCGACGCTAATCGTGCCGGTCGGTATTTGTATGACGTTGAATACCCCCGTGCAGATTCCTGTGAACTTTGGGAGTGCGGTGCGGGGTACGCCAACATCACGGGGGAATGTCTCAACATATCTGGACGTAGATTGTTTTCAGATGACAGAACCGATGACGACTTTCTGAGCGACGATGAGTACACCGTGGACGACGATGACTACACATCCGAAATCCCTTCCTGCAGTCAGGCGGTTTGCTGTGAACGTGGTGAGTGCCCTTCCAATCATTCCTTCGGGACGTCATTCGTTGTGGCCGTTTCGTACCTAAAATACTTTCGGTTATAAGCAAAGTCGAATTCAAACACATGTCTTGAGTAGACCGAATCGTGTGCTTGTGAAGTACTGTCTATTTGCATTACTTAATTTTAGACCACATGCCTGCGAAAGATTCCGTTCAGACCCCGGGCAGAGTAATGCCGGCGTTCCTTGTGACCCGTCTGCCCTTATCCCCATGTTTCAGCAATAATTTGAGTGACTGTAGGAATATGTACCATCGGATGGAATATGAGTGAGTTTACGTCTCGCCGGAGTGGTCAAGTACGGGAAGCCAACGGATGCAACGAAGGATGGCCGGGACCACAGTCCGGCTCCGGAGGCCTCACCCAATCAATCAATATGCTCCTCTGTTCGGATTCAGAATACAATAGGAAACGCTGCATCAGCAACCCTACCTGACATGAAACCTTTAGAAATTGGTCATTGATGAAAAATGTTTATGAAATGGCAAGGATGGAACCTTTTCCACAGTCTTCACGACGTACGTACATGTGGTACCTTTGTGCGGCGGGGCGACAAACGTTGCCCCAAACTTGCTCGTCAACGGCTGGAAGGCAATCCCTCCAACATTTGAGTATTCCCCATGCATTCGAATAACAAGTCATTTATGTTTCTTTAGACTTGTAGGCACAATCGACAAGAATATAACCTTGGTTGATCGCCAACCACATCCAGTCCGAAGCAGCCCAAGCCGCAATAGAGAATCGCAGAACTATCGGCTCTCGTGTCTTACCGTCCGATGGATATGGATTCGTTCGTCCAAGGACAAACAACACATTTGTTAGTGTTTTCCCACTTGTTCCACTCAGCGCCTAGCACAAACACGTGGCGGCGAATGGTGTTCCATCGCGGGCACCGGGAGGGCGGGGAGGTAGACAATGTGGCGTGGTGAGGGGCTACCGCCGTCGTAGTAACGGAACAATGAAACATATAGCGGGCAACGTCTGGGAAATGTCACGAGGCCCGGGAGGGCAACAAGAACGCCTTCGAAACCAAGCCCTTTCCACTAATCTCCAAGTCTGTGTCTGTTTCTCTCTAAAACTGAAGAATGTGCGAGCCTGTGCCCGAACTGCCGCAGCGAACACAATTGCTTTCGTGTTGACCCGCCCAAACGAAATCTGCGTTCCTCCTTTCTCTCCCTTCCCCGTGCCGCACGCGTGCTCCGTCTCTACGACACTGCCCTAACCCACTCTCGCTTTCTCCCGCTGTCCAACCCCATGTAACTCCAGTGAACACTCCAGGGCCAATCCCTGAACCAACTGCCCCGACTCCATTGCCAACTTCAACTACCCCGACTCCATCACCAACTCCAACGCCAAGCTCAACGCTACCCCAAGCGCCAACTCCTGCTCTAACTCCTGTGCCAACTCCTGCGCCAACTCCTTCATCCGGTGAAGATTTGGCGCGATTATCCATATCTTTTGTGACTGCAAGCCTCTGTTGTTTTCTTACCGTGCCGTTAACATATCATCATAGAACCTCTTCCGAAAGACGTTTGGACTTGCTTTGGAAGCGAGACGGACAGTGGGATTTGTGCACCGGCACCATCGTTACTTTCAATGTCCTTGTAACATGTCTTCACCCTACCGCTTCCGGAATCGCACAGCCCGCACGTGCAGCAATGGCCTCGAAGGCATCGATGCGAACGGCGTGGTATGCTGTCCGCTGGCATGTGGTCAGTGCGGAGGGACGGGGTGCAACACGTCTGGAGCTGCGTTCGGTCTTGACGGTAGTTCGTGCTGCGGGGGAGGGGTGAAGGCTAGCGACGAATACTGCGACGAGACCAACGAAGCCCCCTGCATCATCGGAAGCCGCCCCACACCCAGCCCCACGTCCGGTATGTTCAAATCTCAGCTCCACCCAGAGAACAAGCTAAGTGTGCTTTTGTATGGACTCTTTGGTTGTATAAGGTACACCTCTCGACCACCAAGGCGAGTTGGGAACTGAGGACATCATGAAGTTTAGTTTATGGGGTACGGTCATCACTTCATGTAAGCACGTCGCGAATTGTTGCCGGGCGGGCCGTGCGAGCCTGCCGTACATAACAGCCCGCCCACATGGTAGTGTTGTTCCTTGCTGATCTCTTGAACTCGTGTATTGCGTTCGTTCTGCATAACGTATCACCCTTGCCGGGGGTACAGTACATATACACGATATTGGTAAGGCCCACGTCCCTAAAACCCAAACTCACACCCAGGGCTCTAACCCACGTCCGACGGGCAGCCCGTCATCGAAGTGCTGTATATGCCCCTCACGACAGACGATGGGCCTTTGTCCGCCCGACGGCCGTCATGCGTCCTCATGGGCCGCTATTGGGTCATCGATCGCCCATGGTCTGTCCAACTTCTTGAACCCGTCGGACGTCCCAGGGCCACCCGTGAGCCGTCGTGAGAGGTCCGCGGGTCGTCCATGGGTCGTCATTGGCCACGCATTATATCCCCATGAGGTGCCTATGGGCCACCCTTGGCTCCATAATCATGAGACTTCAGTTTAGAAAGTAGTTTGGAGGACGTCCTTTTCGTCTTTGCAATTCGAAAATGTTCTGCTGACATGCATGGGTCGTCATTGATGTTGACCTCGGCGCCCATAGGTGGCCCATGAACGGCCAATGGGTGGACCGGGGGGCGTACACAACACTCTAGGCATGGCCTTCGGTCGACCAACGGTCGGCACGTTAGTCGCAGGCACCCATGGGTGGCTCGTCGGCGGTCCATGGGCATTTCAATGGGTATTGACCGATGGGTGGTCAATCTGCGGTCGATAGTTCAACCCATGTAGAGTCCAAATAATACGTCTCGTGGGCCGCCCATCATAATCGACCGATGGACGATCCATGATGGTCCCTGGGCCGGTCCATGGGCGGCCCGATAGCCCGGCGCTGTCATTATTGGAAGTGAGACGCACAACGGTGATGCGCACCGGTCTGTACTAACGTTCTCTGCGTATAACTTGTTTCTAATCGGTGTCGGTACCACACAGCGAACACGTGCAGCAACGGCCTTGAAGGCATAGACGGGAACGGAGTGGTATGCTGTCCGCTGGGCTGTGGGCAATGCGGAGGGACGGGATGCAACACGTCTGGAGCTGCGGCCGGTCTTGACGGTAGTTCGTGCTGCGGGGGATCGATAAAGGCTAGCGGCAAATACTGCGACGAGACCAACGACGCCCCGTGCATAATTGGAAGCAGCCCTGCACCCAGCCCCACCCCCTGTGAGTCCCGAACGGTACGGGAGGAGCCTCTCTCGACTAATGTTGACGCCGGATACGGCCATTCCTGATGAGGTAGATAGCCCCAGGAACGGTCATGTACACCTCTTCCACGCAGCGGCGCCAGTTGTATTGCTGCAGGCAGTACCAACCGTCCCTAAGCAGGCTCTGAAACACTTGTTCCATGCTGACCTCTTGAACACAATACATCCCCATAGAAGTCGTTGCTGCACCCGGCTCCTCCGGCCGCACCCGAATCCCACGGCACCGCGCCCCCCACAACTGCTCTGCAGCAATAACATCACTTTCCTACGCCTCACCAGTAGACAACTCCGCATCAACCCCTACATCTGTTGAACGTGTGGCGCGCTTAGCTATTGGCCATTTCTCCTTGCTGCAAGCGTTGTTTTCTGACCCTGTCTTGTTTGCAGTACCTCCTTCGCACGACCCTGGATGTTGTACTACTATTGTAGGATGTGGGGGGGGCCCTGGTGATGCTCGCCGTTACAGCCGCGGCCCGCAAAGTTTTTGGAGTAGGCCCAGCCACTTTGGTTCAATGATCCCGCGCGTAATCACTCATTGTCGAAGTTCCTCGGGCCGCCCGTTGCACCAGTCCCGATTGCAATTCACCCTTGTACTATTTCCCATCGTTTCTGGACCGCACAGCCGAAACTTGTAGCAACGGTGTTGAAGGCATCGACGGGAACGGCGTGGTATGTTGTCCGCTGGGTTGTGGCCAGTGCGGAGGGGCGGGATGCACCACCTCTGGCGCCGCGGCCGGTCTTGGTGCTGACTCCTGCTGCGGGGGATCGATAAAGGCTAGCGACGAATACTGCGACGAGACCAACGAAGCCCCCTGCATCATCGGCAGCCGCCCAACGTCGGGTAAGTCCTGCCTACATCGACTCCACCACGAGCCGAAATCGCAGCCCAATGTGGGACCTCGAGGTGGTTTGCACGCATCCGCCGCGCAGCAGCCCGCCATTTGCATGCCGTTTATCCGCTGGTCGACAAATCAATCTCGTTTTTCCCTCTGCCCCTCGACGACTGGCCAGGTTCCATTTGATGCACGCTTGCATTCCTGGAGAGTGGACGCCGGGGCGTCGTGGAACAGCGTGTGGCCGCACAGTGGCGACATGTGCAACCAAGCCGTGTACCCGCGTGAAGGGGGCAGACGAAAGATGGTGCTCAGAGAGTTTTCCACGTTTGTCTGCATTTTGGCTTTGATGCGGTCCTGATGCCTGACCTCCTGCAGAGTCAGCCGCGCTCGCTAATTCTTAGGTTTCCGTCCAGAAAACGTCACGGACGTGTCTTTTTTAGACGGCCTATACGCGGTACGCATTCGTCCGCCGCCTTGCAGCGCACGTCCAGCCTCCCGCGCATGCAGCTATGCGCTTAGACATGGCCAAAAGAATGTGCGAATATTAACAACGTTTCCGACTTTTTGTGGCAGAGAGTTCACGTAAGTAACTTTGTTGGCCCTTGCCGGCTCCCATACGCTTGACGTATCATGTCCACCCTAGGTTGTTGACATTGTGACGGAATATTGTCATGATTGATTGTGTTCTCGATCGTCCGTGTAAATAAAACACTGGAGGGTCCTCAGCAGCACGAAGCCGAGTTCTCTATCGTTCATTCCTGGAATATTGGTTGAGCTGCCACCTTGTATTGTACACGAAGGGCGATCGGCCAATGGCTATCGGGATGGGCGGGACCACGGGTGGGTGCTTGCACCGCGTTCCGCGGGCCGCTCTGTGGACGGCGTGCGAATGGTCACGACTGATGGGCTGGCATGTTGGCTCCAAAAACATAACACCGCCGTGTAGTAAGTGATGATCTTGCTCGCGATGGCAATGTTGATTCACAAGTTTGTGACAGGAGCTGGTGTGAATTATTGAGTACGACGTGTCCAAACGTCGCATCTATGCACACTAATCTTAGTCGTTTCCACTGACCACTGCCGAAGTATGAGCAACGAGGAACATGTGACACAATTTTGGTCGTCTGTGAAGTCGGCCTTGTTCCAGTCCAAAGCAGAAGTGTGTTATTCGTTGGACGCCGGTAGTTTTTTTCTTTAGTTTTACCTTTGCTTGTTTTGGTAGATGCCCTCAGCGGTACAGTAGTACGATCATTTTGGAGTCAATCAGTCGGACAAGAGAGGGAGACAGACAGATACGAAAACAGCAGAGATGCTGTGTACCACTCCTCGGAGTTAATATATCTGACCGATGCCATGCCGAAACATTTACCCCCCCAAACAGACGCACTTAGTGTTTTGGTATACCCGTTCCGCATTGTATGCTGTGAGAGAGTTGTTTATACACCAAGGGTCGGCCCGTCATCTACGTTCAACTATATCTTGATGTAGCGAGGGTGGTGTAGGACTGTGTGCAGCGTGCTTCGGCTGCAGTGTTGTTTGGGTTAGGCCAGAGAACTGCTGTAGTACGTACCTGTCAGCTTACATCCCATCGAGTACTTCGTTCACATGTGTTGCCCCCATCGATTAGTGAGGAATGCGGTGAGGTGATTCGTTGAGTGAAGAATATATGCGCATGAAGGCGACAATAAATGGAAAACGCCGATTGTTCTGCATTTCTAGAGAGAGAGCAAGAGTTCGATAGAGGGATGTTCAGCGATAGGCGTTGAGGATGGGAGAAGCAATTGCGTCAAAGACTTCGTTCGGTATTGCTCAATTTGATGGACTTACCCTCCCAGGGAGAATGGAATTACGTGTGTGGTGCTTCACGAGTCAACGCATTATTCACCTTACCGACGACCTATTCATGACCGGGCGCCGTTACCAAAGTGACTGACGATATGCTTGGCGGCGTGTCATGCACTTTCGAAATATCAACGAAATCAAGATTTCATTCAAACAACCCACGGTCATTGATGGCATTCGTTGCCCCCCCGACAGTGGCCATAGCTCTCTGCCGTCGGACGGCCAATGGGTATTGCTCCTTCCCATGTTGCGATGACCTACGGGGCTATGTTCTTGGGATGACGCCTTAACCCGCGGATTCGTACGAGGTCGTTTGTGGTCATCCCCTTCGCGATTTCGATACTTCGTTCGCGCCTGCTAACACAATCGCTCTCCTTGCAGGTAATGCCATGACATTCGAAGCGAAGAGCACCGATTCTGTTGAAGTGTTTGCGCTCAGAGCGTCGCGAACGCACGCCAGAAATCTGGCTAAAGCTGCACTCCCCGCAGAACGTACCTTCTTTCTTCGTTACTGTCTTCACTTCATACCAGCGCTCACGGCGTTTATTTCGTGCCGTTTTACTCCAACCCGTAGGCATACAGAAGGGTTCCTCTGCCTGAGGTCCCCTCACCATCCCTCCTGCGATTTTTAGTGCGAGAAGGGTGCGGTATCTGTGTACACACGAAATACTAGCGATTTCCACTCAGTCCAGGAACGGAAGCGAGAGAAAACTAACCTTGCAACTCAAAGCTCGCTTACGCTGGGATTCGAATCCTGACCCTGGCCACTATGCATGGAGGAGGTGTTCGAGGAAACCAACTAGACCACCGGGGCGACCGGCTGAGCACGCTTATATCCTAGTCCTTACTGTATATTTCGAGAACGGTGTGCATCCCGAAGTCCGAGTTGAGATTATGCGCGCAGGAGTGGGTTACACAACACTTGCTCGTAGAATATAGGCACCAGGCGCACAAATATGTTTGCGCTGCTGCTTCGGTTCTCGTTATTCGCCAAACAGAATTATTAACACGCGATTGTTACCACATATGCCTTGGCTTTCAATGACCCAAGAACCCAGAATGAATATGAAGAAGTGATGCAATATCGGAGGTCCCCGTGTGAACCATCGGGGTTCAGCGGAGTTTTATCAGTTTGTCGTATCAACGTCGAAATATGGAAACATCGAAATACCGGGTAAAAAAAGGTGATTTTTTTTCGATACTCGAAAAGTCGAAACATATTTATGTCGATAGCGTACGATATGAATATTCCGAAGTTAGGGTAGGTCTCAACGAAGAAATCAAATGGTGAATCATAGTCGAATATATGAATTGTGATAATCAACGCGACGAGTATCGTCGGCGTTGCCTGTCTGAAGCAGTGTTTATATTTCGTGGGTAGTCGCGGGGAAAGAACAAACGCTACAAGACGACGCGTCCCAAGACGTACGTACCTTGTAACGGACGGATTCCTTGATTACAGGACAGGCACCGAGAGTACCAGCACGAGCACCGTACCACCACTTACCGCCACCAAGACCAACTCAACAACACCTCACCAACCTCACCAAAACAAAAAAGACTGACTTCCTCGGCAGGGACGACGTTTGATTGGAAGGTCTTCCCAACGGCTGATGGATTCCCTTCCTCGGCGTGCGGTTGTAGGCGGAATTGCCGTGAGAGGTCGATGGGCTGATGCTCCGCGGTTGATCTTCATGTCATGTAGATCGTCCTGATGGGCTGATATTCCACTCTGGTTCCTGAGGCGGCGCACATCTTTTTGATGTGTTCATACTTCATCCGAAGTGAAATTCATTTCTCCGAAGTAAATTGAGCGAGGGGGCGAAAAGATCCGCCCCAACAACCTGAAATTCCATTTTATCGACCTTTTTCGACAATAATCGGTCGTGCAACAGTAGTAGGAGAAGGGGTGGGATCCATATATATATCTGAAATTCATTGAGCGAGGGGGCCCGAAAGCCCCAACGACCAATTTGATATTCATATATTCCGACGATATTTCTACAATAATATGAGGAAAGGGGATAGATTCATTTTTCAGAAAGGAGTACGATACATAGAAGAATGCGAGAGTTCCTTTTTCCGGAAATGGTTTCAGGCGATCAAAAGAAGAGCAACAGTAAGACGGGGACGTGGCAATGACGAGGAAATGCATGGTCGCACACTTATTTGTTGCGTCTGATGCTTCGCGCGGACGGAGGAAAACAGCGCGCATGGTCGCACATGGCCGCACACTTGTGACGTAAGCTACAGTAGTACTGCGCGCCGAAGTCGATCAAACTTAGCGACTGGCTATCATTTAGAATGCCCTATCGAGGGTTACTAGGGATATCGCGACCCGTGCGCCGTAGGTCGAGTTCGGCTTTTCAGACACGGTCAGGCAAGGGTGCGGGAATCGGAATACGAGAGTGAAAAATAGAGTACGATCTGCCGAAATCCGAATCGAAACGCTCTGTGTATCTTACGGTTGATCTGCCAAAACGGAAACCAATCTCTTCAACTCACTGCGGACAGCACGACAGGCCCGCCGTTGGCCGATTGCCCAGAGGTCACTGTTGTGTCGTGGCCATACCGCATACATACATACATTTGGGAGCGCGCACCGTTCATTTCCATGGTCCCTGCGTTCCAGTCATACAATGTACATGTGAGATTCAGAATCTAGCCTCATCGGACTGAAAGCCACGAATGAATTCGTTTGTGAGGTTCGACAACTCACGGGAAGATGCCCCTCACACGCTTTTTTGCAGCGCCAGTCATGTGCAACAACAACGCGTGGTCACTTTGGGTTGTTTTGCGTGTTCTCTCCCTCTCTCTGCTCGGCGGTGTGCAACAACTGCATGTGGGTAGAGGTGTAGGGGAGTAAGGGTACATGGCGCCGTGTGTGCGAGTAGACCGCCAAATCGCCAGCTTGGGTTCCTGTTCACCCAAGTCCGGGGCTGATTTTAAGGGCAATTGACAAAATGGGGTATACCCTGCGTGTTTGGGCACAAAATGGGGTATACTTTATTTCGGTGCCGGGCGCAACGCCTGACGCCGGGTTGTTGTTGTTGTTGTTGACTTCACATTAAACCGTATGCCAGTTGCTAAATGCCAAAATCTAGCAAAGACTCTCGGCCCGTGGTCACGAAAGTGCTAGAGCCATCTGAGGATCTAAAGAACACGCACACGTAGCAAGAAAAAGGT